GTAATTGTGTATTTAGCTTTTTCAATGCCTTTTTTTACACATGTAATAGTATCATTACAATATGTATAAACCTAAACTTGGATTGCGTCCTTAAATGTTTTTGTACTAACACAGTAATCACAAATGTGATCGTATTTCTAACGTCTCCCGTTTTCATTTCAGAAATCTGGTCACCTTAATGTCATCGTCAATTTACTAGCCAGTAATATTAACAGATGTCAACTTACCCTTTTCTCTCTTTTGTGTTTAATCATTTTTCTTGCCGATTGTAGACTGTAGACTCTCGGCCAATCAGATGGCGTAGAAGTCTACAGGCAGTGGCACACTGCACTTGCGGACTTACAATGGCCGCCGCGTGCACGTGTCCACAAGACAGTACGGTGTCCCATTATGGCAAGCCGTTTTAACATTTAATCTATAAGCCGTACTAGTATCTATTTTCATGGTACTAGTACCTATTTTTTAGATACTAGTATCTTTTCCATTAAGTACTAGTACTTATTCATTAGGTACTAGTGCGTATTCTTTAGCTACTAGTGCTTATTCTTTAGGTACTAGTCTTTATTCTTTAGGTACTAGTGTCTTTTGTAAAGTTACTAGTACTTATTCATTAGATACTAGTACTTAATCATTAGATACTAGTACTTATTCCAATAGTGACTAGTATTTAATTATACTCTTCTTGTTAAGAAAAAATAGAACTAGTACTTATTTTTTAGTTACTAGTAACTTTTTAGACCAGAGATATCCTGAACTTAATAGATACTAGTACTTTTTAAATTAGCATTTCTGCCCAGTATGGTAATCGCATGTTGAATAGTAATGAGCCGGCACAAATAGGAGAGAGATTAGACAGGAAACAGAAACAAGATGGATGTACTTTTTTGAGGAAACCACATAGAAAAGAAACAATTATTTGTACACAACCACATAGAAAACGTATTTTTGTCAGTTTTGTAAACTGTAATTTCGTTAACATAGTAGCCTAATGTGTTTGTTGGTCATCGAGTGACCTCTAGTGGCAGCATGGAGATAAGACACCAATTTTATTGTCTGTTATTTTCCTATTTTTCCTCCAGTAAAAACAATAAATATCATACCAGGGCTGTATGTTAACTTTTTTTGCATATAGCACTGATGCTGCAGACAGTGAATACTAGTACCTATTTAATAGATACTAGTAGTTATTCATTAGGTACTAGTACTTATTTATTAGACACTAGTATCTTGTGTAATTACTACTAGTAACAGTTCTTATCTTACTAGTCAAATCTGCTTTTTTACTTGTCTGATGCTATGACTAGTCCAAATGGCTACAGTAGAGTTCAATTAATGAATAAGTACTACTACTTAATGGAAAAGACACTAGTATCTAAAAAATAGGTACTAGTACTATGAAAATAGATACTAGTACGGCTTATAGATTAAATGTCACAACGGCTTTCCATAGTATCTTTTCCATTAAGTACTAGTACTTAATGGAAAAGACACTAGTATCTAAAAAATAGGTACTAGTATCTAATGAATAAGTACTAGTACCTGATGAATAAGTACTAGTACCTGATGAATAAGTACTAGTACTTATTATTAGATACTAGTACCTATTTTTTAGATACTAGTGTCTTTTCCATTAAGTACTAGTACTTATTCATTAACTACTAGTGCTTATTCTTTAAGTACTAGTGTTTATTCTTTATGTACTAGTGTCTTTTGTAAAGTTACTAGTACTTATTCATTAGATACTAGTTCTTATTCATTAGATACTAGTTCTTATTTATTAGATACTAGTACTTATTTATTAGATACTAGTACTTATTCCAATAGTGATTTAATTATACTCTACTTAAGAAAAAATAGAACTAGTGCTTATTTTTAGTTACTTTTAGACCAAAGATATCCTGAACTTAATAGATACTCGTACTTTTTAAATTTGCATTTCTTCCCAGTATGGTACTCGTATGTTGAATATTATGGCACTTTTCCACTGCATGGTACGTGCATGGTACGGCACGGTACGGTTCACTTTTGGGGGGTTTTCCACTTGGTACAGTACCTGGTACCTGGTACTTTTTTTTAGTACCACCTCGGTTGAGGTCCCAAGTGAACCGTACCGTTACCAAAATCTCTAAAGCGGTACTGAACTGCAGTGGAGACGCAAACCGTGCCGTACTGAGCCGTGCCGAGCCGAGTTGTACCACGCAGTGGAAAAGCGCCATTAATGAACCAGCAACATATAGGAGAGAGATTAGACAGGGAACTTAAACAAGGAGACGGATGTACTTTATTTATTTATTTATTTATTTTTTTTTTTGAGTGAACCACGTAGAAAAAAACAATAATTTGTACAGAAGCACATAGAAAACGTATTTTTGTCAGTTTTGTAAACACTGTAATTTTGTAAACAGTAGCCTAATGTGTTTGTTGGTCATCGTACGAGTGAGCTCTGGTGACAGCATGGCGATAAGACACCAATTTTCTTATCTATTATTTTCCTCTTTTTCCTCCAGTAAAAACGATAAATACCATACCGGGGCTGTACGTTAACTTTTTTGCATATAGCACTGGTGCTACAGACATTGAATGTTTTAACATTAATGTTCTGTACAGGGCCCCAAAAAAAATCCAAACCTTATGGTTTTCAGACAAACATTTTATTTATTTGGAAAAAAAGACCAAAAATTATTAATAATAAAAATAAAAAATAACACCAGGTTTGCTTTACTTGTAGGGCTGCACAATTGGGCAAAAAATGTTTTTATATATATATATATATATATATATAACTTTCCGTACCCACTGTATATATATATATATATATATATATGTATAACTAATAATGATTATGGTTATTTTATCTAAATAAAAACATTAAACAAAATAAGGAATATTACTTTTGTAATAACACTATTTCACTATAATATACAAAACTGAGTATTTAAGAATAAATATAATAATAAATATAGCTGCAAGAAAAAGAAAAAAAATTTACACTTCTCTACACTGGAGAAAAACGTAAGGATTTGCAAATGTTTACCTCAAAGTAATTAGGGTTTTGTGATCAATAATGAGTACTCAATTAATGTAATTACTTTTTCATTCATACTCGTCGCCGGAAGGCGCCCTTGCACAGAAACTCCACAAGTGAGACACACTGATGACATTCCAGGAAATCCCTTATGGACAAAGACATTCAGCTTTTGCTGTAGATGTAGCCTAGTAGTTGAATAACATGCATATAGATGTTTTACTGATGAAACATGAAGACAATAAACAATGATTGCGACAATATATGATTTTATGTGTTCTTCAAGCAATCGCGGGTATTTTAAAAAAAATAAAGTATATTTAAAATACTATGCTAATTGACATAGCCTTTATCACTATAGAATAATTTTAAGTGGCATGATTTCTGCCTCATTCTGTTTAATGAAGCCATGTCAGATTACAAAAATAAGTTATTTCAAAGACTCGACTGATGTTATGAAGTGAATTTGGAGTAAAAAAAATCATTATACTTTTGTTGGACAACATGTTTGTAATCTTAGGTAATCATGGTAACCAATTAGCAAGATAGGCTAACATACAAAGCCAGTTAGCCCTATTTAACAATCAAATTAATTAAGCATATTAATGTATTGTATTACCACGTGGACTCTGATTGGACGGTTGAGAGGTACTCATGTTTATGTAATGATCTGTTTGAATTAAGTTCTTTATGAGGTTGACGATATCTGCAAATGAACAGGTAGTGGTAGTTATTCTGTTTTTGATATCGTCTTTTAATTTCTGACTAGTAATTATTGGAATAATGACGAGTATCTATTTAAATATTTTACTAGTAAGCATTCATTAGATACTAGTACTTATTTATTAGACACTAGTATCTTTTGTAATTATTACTAGTAACAATTCTTATCTTACTAGTCAGATCTGCTTTTTTACTTGTCTTATGTTATGACTAGTCCAAATGGCTACAGTAGAGTTCAATTAAGAAATTACTAGTAAAATAAAAAAATCTTACTAGTAACATTTCAAATAAGTACTAGTATCTAATAAATGTGTACTAGTGTCTAATGAATAGGTACTAGTGTCTATTTAATAGGTACTAGTACCTAATGAATGAGTACTAGTACCTAATGAATGAGTACTGGTACCTAATGAATGAGTACTGGTACCTAATGAAATAAACAAAATATTGCACTAAATTAAAAGTTCAAATGTTACAAATAAGTTACAATATTGATGTAATACTGGTAGCACTAATACTACAATTTTATGATATATGTTACATTAAAGTAACAATTTTGAAATGCGTTGATGATTTTTTTTGTTGTTGTTTTTTTTGGGGTATTTTATCTCAGTATTCCTATCAGTGTTGTACAAGGGTTTTTAGGCATAATAGTAACCCTAGAATGTGATGAAACGGTTTAAAATAGCTGGGCTGAGATATATAACAGTTTTTATGACTGCAGAAATGTTAATTCAGTATACACATTATCCCACCGGTCACAATTGTGACGACTATAAAACACAATTTTTCACACACTTTTCCAAAAAACTTGCATAAAAAAAAAAATAAAAAAAATTCATGATTATTTCAAAGGGCCTCTAATGACACACTATCTGGATATTTTCATGTCTGGAAAAATTTGGGATTAAACGGGTTAACAGCTCCCACTAGCTGTGGTGGAGCAGTTATGAAATATTGTTCTTGTAAATACAGTATTTTTTTCCAGTAATAAATATGCATTCTATGTACGTGTCCCCATGAGAAACAACTTCCCTCTGAATCGGGCTTATGAGTAATTTTTATTTTGTCTAAATAAATCTTGTGCAAAATTAGGAGAACAGCCCATCAGTTCTGTGAAATTACAGTTTTTAATGATTCGTATATAGGCCTAACATTTAAGAAAAGGGAAATACACAACACTGTACAGGTTACAAGAAAAAAATATAAAATATTTTTGACAATGTCTTAAGAAAAATGTGCTGACTATTTATAAGGCAGATAGTGTTTGTTATACAAAGAGTACATACACATCATTTTTGGATATTTGAATTAGATTATTTTATAAATGTCAAGTACTGAAATTGACTAATTAAAACTGATTGTGCTATAATAGTTGCATTAAATATGTAGGCATCAGAAATTGACAAACATGGTGTATTTGTCTATAAAAAAAATGTAAATTGGTAAATAGGAATTCTTTGTCTGTCATATAGATTGGGATTTTTTGGTCTATAATGTGTACTGTGTTCTTTCACAACGTTCCATATCTCCAGTACAACAGAAGTGTAGTCCTTTTCCTTTACACCCACACCTTCCCCTTCCCTTCTCCTTTCCCAGATCGCTGTCCACAGCAGCCCCCTGTCAAGCCACGGTACTGGGTAGCTGGAAGGTTCTTGTAGACGGCACGGCTGTACGGAATAAAACACAGACCCAGCTGAAGGTGACGAGCAAGCCGGCAGTACGCAGCCAAGGCCAGAACTAGGAGTGGAGTCACTAGCAAGAAACCCACAACCAGCAGAGCCACACAGCCACCGTCAGTCAGTAGATCCGAACAGTATGGTGATGAGCCGTGCGGGCGCACCTGAAAAGAGAGACATTTGACTGGTGTGGACCTGTGTGGGGTCAAGGATGAGTGGTGGAATGCATGTAGGCATTGCTGAGGAGGGTCAAAGAGAAATGAAGTGTCCCTGGAGGAACACCATCTCTGAGGTGTGGACAGACGAAGAACAGACACACTGGACAAGAATGTCTACCTACAGCATATGCTTGCTTTCTTTAGTGAGTTGATCGTTTGTTACTTCCAAGGTAGTGTTTTTTCTTTCTTTCTTCTTCTTATTATTATTATTGTTATTATTTATTTATTTTTTTAATTTAATGTTATATTTTGACAGAAGACCACTGTTGGTCTGATTCACTAAAACCTCAATATATCACCTTTGCTTTGTTTTTTTTTTCTCCCTTTGAGCTGCTCTGTGCCCGATCACTACCAAAATATAGATTCTGCATCAGCCTGCCTAAAGCTTCAATAATTGTATATGCACAGAGACTTCAAATATACATTATACATCATTTTAATTCTTTTGGTTAATTGGCATTGCACAGGATGGAAAGGATTGAGGGATAAAAATACCCCCACATTCTTGAAGGGAAGGAGAGTAATAGGCAGGAAAAACAGGCGACTGAGTAAACAGAGTAGGAGGGAGAAAACTGATAAAGCCCATCTGCAGTTTGAGCTGCACTTTCTCACTCTGACAGGTTTCTTCACTCAAGTAGATGCTTGTAAAAATCTCTACTAAAAAGTAAACAAAGCGTTCTTGGAGAGTTATAGTTAGACGTTTATTAGAGATCCCCCTATCATTAAATGATATTGTGACAGCTGCATCTGAAAAGCAAACGTTTTTTTTTTTTTATGAATTTCACTGTGGTTAGAAATGTAGTATTTATTGTGATGTTTTCATCAGCTGTTTGGACCCATTCACTGCAGAGGATCCATTGGTGAGCAAGTGATGTAATGCTGAATTTATCCAAATCTGTTCCAACGAAGAAACATACTCATCTACTTGGATGGCCTGAGGGTGAGTAAATTGTCAGCAAATTTAAATGTTTGGGCTGTAAAAAGTTTTAGAAAATGTCAAAGGGTGATGTGATGCAATAAAATGTAAATCTTCTCAAATCTAGAAATCAGCCACAGTTCTCTTTTGGTATGTCTCTAAAGTATGAGGGATTCCAGCTGTCTGTAGAACTGTTGTGTGTGTGCAGATAAGATTAGAGCTGAACAGAGTAGTTTCAGGGAACTGATGCACCTATGTGGCCTTGATGTTAACCATATGTTTAGAAAGGATCCAACATCTAGAGAGCAATGCACACTCATCACTTCAGTCTTTTAGATTTGGTCTTAAATTATGCAGATTTATTCATTAGTTGGAGTTAATGCTTTGTTTATAAAGTATCCTATTATGCATCTTGACAGAATCCTGAGTAGTTGACTGCTTATTTGAAATGACAAACTATTTACTCTATGGAATACCATGGTGGTCTGTTGCTCCGTACAGATCTTTTGGTTTTATCTCTCTTTCGTAGGTGATCTAGTGTCACATGGGGACTAATTGGTCCGAGTGGCCATTGATCTTGGATCCTAAAGGTCTGGTAATTGGAGAGGTCAGAAGAATTCAGCCTTTATTTACACACATTGACCCTTACTGACCCATGGGTGCTACATGAAGATAACTTAAGCGGTTTTCTTCTAGCAAGAGATGAAGAGCCTGTAATAGTGAGATGAAAGGTCTGTATCTTACAGAAACTTGTCTGTTAATTCTGTAGTAGAATGTGTGAGTCTTTTGTTGAAAATGAACAGAGCTGATACGGTGGAGAAGCAGTAGATCTACTCTTCTGTGGGTCAAAGTGCAAGAATGTCGAGGGCGGTCACTATACAACTTTGTGAGAAAACTGTTTTTAAACTCCAGTAATCCACTTCTGTCCTGAAAACACTCCTCATCTGACGTCATCCTCCCAACTCCTGACCTGCCCCTGCTAATACTCCTGCACTCAGATTGCTGAGAAATGCCCAAGATTAAGAGATTACTTGGTGAATCAAAGAGAAACAGAGGCCAAACTCCCATAAATCCCTAGAAGAATATCTCTGAATCTTGATTAGCTTTTATTCTGAGTCTTTTTCCCAGATTATAAAGGACATTCCTTTAGCAGCAATACTGTTTATCTCAGGGACCAAATTTTCAATATGTTTTAAGCATAAATGACTGTTTTTCAGTGGATTTTATTGTTCCAAGATCTAAATATGAAAGTTGCATATTTTTTGCAGTGAAGGATCCATTATTATGCAGTAGTCTTCCCATTGGTATTTGATCTCATTTAAGAAAGAATTTGTATAGACTTGTTTTTATTACTTGTGAAGTTTTGTCATTATCTTTTGATTTATCATTATATTAGCTCTTTCCACTTTGCAACTTTTTCCATACTAAATACTGGTTGTGCATCATATGTAATATGCAGTATTATATATTACATATAGGGCCAGATTTACTAAACAGGGCAAACTAGCGTTAGAGCGCAATTCCATAAAAGCGCCGATGGGAAGGGAAAATTCTGCGGTTGATTTACTAACAATGCGCACATTAAAGAACACAAACGCAGCCAGATCATTTCCATAATGACCAGCGCAATCTACCAAGAGCAGCGCAAATTACTGCCTGCTTTCAGACATGCTTTTTTTAGGCATTAAATGGCGCAAATACCAGTAATTTGATGAGCGCAAACGTTAGTAAATCGCGTTGCCTGATTAATTTTAATAATCTCCAACCATAAATTTTGCGCCTGAAAGGGAAACTCCTACAAATGCATATTCAATAAGGTCAGGTGCAAAAAAAAAATTGTCCACACCTTTTCAGTGCTAATTCTTCACTACACATCTTTAGTAAATCCTGACAATACTATTTTAACGCCAAAAGGCGGTTTGTGCTGGTGCAAGCTGTTAGTAAATCTGGCCCATAGTATATTTATCATCTTTGGAGCAACTCTGGAGTAAAGTTTAATGTACTAATAAACTTTATTTAATGTACTAAGTCTTTATCAGTGTTTTTCTGATAAATTGTAAATATATATATTAATCTTAATAAATTATAAAATCATAAATTGTTTTTTCTTAAGTCCACTTTTTTATGATTTTATGAAAGTCTCCTACCCTCTGACCCGAAGAATTAAACCGCTTGTATTTTGTTCCTGTGGACCTACTTAAAAGTCCTCTACACATGAAAAATGAAAAACCTGAAAAAAACTTTCATTTCTTTTGATTTCAGTTCTTACCGTTGAATGACAGATGAAGCCGAACACCACCATGACAATGGCAGGAATTAGGATGAGCCCGAAAACCAACCCGGCCAGGCAGGCGTTGATGGCCGCGATCACCAGGTTCTGCGCTGTCACCAGCACTGAGCATGCCCAGCAGTCCAGAGAGCCCCGGAGCTCCAGCGGAGCTTCACCTCCCCCAGCCTCCGCAGCGGAGTAAGGCGGCGGCACAACCACTCCAGACCCACCTACTGGGGTCCCGGCTGGCACAGTGGAGGCCAAGGAGTTTGTGTGCTGGAGACTGGTGTGATTGTGATGGTGGTGGTGATGATGGCTGTTGGTTGGGAGCTCTTCAGAGAGGTCGAGGGCCTGGTGATGAGCCGCCTTCTCCAGTGTGCCATTCATGCTCATCCTGATCTGATGATAATAGAGAATGAAGGACATTAAAAAGTACTTTGTTAAATCGTGAAAGGAAAGCGCTTGATGAGTTTTGTATCTTCAGTTGTAGGCTTGAACCACATTGTTGGAGCTCAGCAAATTGTTGACAGCGGTTCAAAAACAGTTAGCCAACATTTTTTGTAAATTCTTTTTATGCTTTTAGATATTAAATCATACAAGCCTTGATTTAACAGTGAATTTACTCAAATTTGAAAGTGGCCATAGATGGGGTTTCAGTCCCCGTCTTTGACCTCAACCCTCTTAAAATCTGAGATCAAACTCGGCTGAAAAATCTGTGAATGTGATCTCTGTGTTTGTTGACGGCAGTGGCTGCACTAAGCTGTCTGAGGTTATTTCTCTCTCAATCCCTGTCAGCAGTTGTTCAAAACCCTGGAAAGTGTTACATTAAATATTGTCATTGGTGGATGCAGTCATAGTCAACTTTGATATTTGCTTTGGACAGTTTACCGCTTCAAAAAAGTTCAGAGCAAGGTTAAATCACTTATCGCCAGGAAGCTTGGTTTGTGATCTTTTAGTTAGGTCTTTTATCAGAGACTGATTGTTATCTGAAAGCTAACTGGTGCTTTGTGGCGGAAACTAATTGGTATTTGAGTGTGTTTGGAACAACACAGGCGATATGATCAAGTGAAGAGTGAGAGGCCTTGACATCGCAGTAACCCTCACCCCTGGGGATTACATCTCTTTTACCTCCATTTGTTTTGTTTTTTTTATCTTGTATGGGTAAACCTCACCAAGAACATAGGTCACATTTCACCCAAATAACAAAAATAAATAATTGTTTTATTTAAAAGTTTGTAATATGCATTTATCATAAATTTGCAATAAGTTTATTGTAAAACAGTAATTAGAAGCATCCTGTCCGGACGCAATGCTTGTTACAAAAATCCCTTCAGAATAAATGAATGGTGGTACAACAAATGCTACTACGATGTATACATTCTACTTTTACAGTACAGAAATGGAAATTTGACAGATTCTTATAATTTGTTATGATCCATAAGAGATTACGTTTTCTTAATTTTCTACACATCCTTTGCTTCAAAGCTAGATTTTCAGGTTATCAGCTCCAGTAAAGTGTGGAGCCTCCCCCCTCCCTCCAATTCTTAGCCGGTTAGGCTGACCATCCAGATAGCACTCAGAACAATAGACCGAGGTCATACTACACAAATAGTTAGCACGCCATACAGCTGTGGCCTCAGTTGTGCCATACGCAACTCTAATCTAAAAATGGATACAGGATGGTCTACGACTCTTTCACACACACATGCACTCTGACCCTTAAACACTACATCCTGAATATGCCATCAGTGATGCATGATGAGGGAGACATGCACACGTTTGTGCGCTTGCTGACTGTTGTGTTGTCTTCCTGCATTTGTATTCTGTTTGTTATACAGCAGGTGGCTTAACATATAACAATCACTAGATCACCACTCACAGGAAACGTGAACACAAGCGCACACCATGCCAAACCTGGATAACACCAGACTGCTCCACCCACTAACTCTGTTTCCACGTTTCTGGGAATCACAAAATTGAGAATTAACTTTGAGTCAAAACTTTGGGACTACAACTAGATGCTACTATTTTTATGCATGTATAAGGCTCAATTTACAAATTGAACGTAACAAATATTTTGTAGGCTCAAGGTGGGAATGAGTTTTACTTTTCCATTTGCATTAAGGTCTGATGTGGCTTCAGTACTTCAAATGTAAATTGGTTTATGACTTTTTTTTTTTTTCACCAATATATGCTTTTGCCTGATGTGGCATTTTAAATGAGCCAACTATATTTTATTTCACTGGTAAACAGTCCCTCATTAGATTTTACATGTTAGATGTTACAGCTATGCATCACTCAAAACTAGATTACGCAGAAGTGCACTTGCAGTTATAGCTGAGCTATTGGTTATGTGAATTAATGTAAAAAGAGTAATCAAGCAGATACATGTATCAGTGTATATTCCAAACATTCCCCTGCTGTAGACTCTTATAGGTCAGTCTCACATGCTCCTTATCAAGCCCTCCGCACCCTCCACTCACCCGATGGTGTGACGCCAGCAGTCCTCTTCTTTTTGTTGCCTTTGACTAACACAACATGCACTCCTTGTTTTTTTTTAAATGGAAGTTTGTTTGGAATTCCTTGTTCAAAAACGTCTAGAATTTCTAAAATTCTAAAAATGTTTTTCCTTGCGTACTAGTCTGATGGTTGCTCTCATTTCTTGTGTTCTCTGAAGTGTATAGTTGGTTTAGCTCAGATTTGCTGTATTCTGTCCACTGGCTCTCTCTCTGTGAGGCAGACTGAGATATGGACGTGTCCTGCCTGGCAGTTATAGCAGTGCCTTCCTCATGCCCCCTCCCCTTTTCCCTTACCCTTCTCTTCTCGCTCTTTCTTCACTCTTTGTGTGGGGGAAGAAATGTTTATTTAAAGAGCTGAAGTGAGGACTTTAATTACTCCTGATGGATAGAGAGGACATGAAACCACCTCACATTTACACCACATGTTCCAAACCTCCATTCTTCTTTACTCATATCATAAACTGCTCTTACCACATGGGGGCAAGTGTTTGTTTTCCTGTAATCATGTGTTGGTTTGTTTGATATTGCCATCTCTATGTGATCCGTGTATAAACGCATGTTATCCATCATCCTCCACCCATAATGCAATTGTATTGCAACTATTGCTGGTCTTTTAGGGGGCATTGCAGCAATCCTAAGTCTTATTGTTCCGTGCAATTTTTTTTGTTGTTTTTTTGGTGAGGCTCTTCACATGGCTTTTAGGACCATATCATAAATTAGTTAGAATTTAAAACTGTAATTAGAAATCAAAAGAACTTAGGACTTCCGGTCTTAAATCTATTCATCATCATTACTGTTTTAACTCGCACTGTAACTATTGTCACTTCCTGTTTGTCACAATCAAAGAAAATGTCACAACTTTTGAGACTTAAAGGTGGGGTAAGCGATTTCTGGTAGCCAATGTTGATATTTGAAATCACCAAAACAAACACGCCCCTACCCCA